AACATTAAGTTACCCTTTGCCTACCTTGTTAAATATGAATTAGTGTGCCGGTTAACCACACACGCTCCACTAACCGACTTAAACAAAGTGCAAAGTGTAATTTCATGGATTAGCACCTTATTCACATTTTCCTAAGTAACTAAGATTAGGAATTATTAAGAGTTTAGTTACTTAGTATTTATCATTAATACTTTTAATGAAGGGAGAATTATAGTCCTGTCAAACCCGTTCGGCTAACGACCCTCCACCAGTCAAGCAAGCGGTGGGTGAGAGTGGACACCCATTAAGTTGCCATTTTATAGGCAACAACCTTATACCCACCTTATAAACCGGCTTCGTGAATGAGGCGTACTAGCGGTAAGACTGACTTTACTCTTATACATATATATTATTAACTTATAGTATTATAAAGTATAAGGGTTGAATTTTAACTCTTAAAATTCTAAGGGCTAACTTGGAATTAAAGTATTCATAAGAGAAAACTTTACAAATTCCAAAACTTGAGGGCAAGTTTTGAAACTATTCAAAACTAATTAATTCCATAACTTATGTGTTTAAAGTAGTTTTAATCCAAAAACTCTTCAAGTTCCATAACTTGAGGACAAGTTATGGAAGACTTTAAACTAATAAAAGAATTAACTTTTCTTTATTTTATAACTTATGGAATTAATTAAGGTTACACTTTTTTTTATTATTTAATGAAGAGACTCTTGGTCCTCCATAACTTGAGGACAAATTATGGAGTCATAACTCCAATTAATTAGAACTAGACTCTTCATTTTTGTAACCTTTGCCAACTTTTATGAGTTTTATGAAACTTAAATGTGACTTTTCATATAACTTGAGGACAAGTTACAAAAACACATTTTAGAATCAACTCTTAGATTAATTTGGATTGAAAACAACTATTTCACTCAACTTTTCTATTAATCTAAGCAACTCATAAGAACAAGATAATTCAAATCAAACATTTTCATGTAATTAGTCTAAACCTTAAATTAATACAAAACATGAATCTATTGACAATTATCTTTGAAATTGGATTAGCATGAACATTACCACTTCAAAAAAAAGTTTATAAGTTCAAAACAACTTAGGGTAATGTTCCTAGTCCATTTCTAGCCAAAAACCTCGAAAATATGTTGTCTGGGGGTCCAACTCGTCGAGTGCATGAACCAACTCAGCGAGTTGGATCGATTTGATCACTTTTTAGGCATGGACTCACCGAGTCTCCTGATGGACTCGCCGAGTATGATGATCAGACAACAATAATTTCGATTTTTAAGCATTTTTTGCAAGTATAACAAGAAAACAAACCTAGGCTCTGATACCACTGTTGGGTTTTGAGCATTCTAACACTCCTATTGTGTACATGCAACCCTATAAACCTTGGATCTATGTTTTCTCTATAATACATGCAAATAAGAACTTTCCAAGGCTTTAATCCTAACTAGCATATTATGAAGCACTTGTACTACAAAGTACTAGTTAGATGACATACCTTTTGATGTAGCTTGATGTCTTCAAGCTTTAAGAGCTTAGCCCCAATAGTGTGGAAGCCTCAAGTGGAATCACAAATCACCAAAACACCTTGGAAGACTTTAGAGAATATGGATACTTGGTTCTCTCTAGTGAAATTGGCTAGCCCTTCATAGTGTACCCACTAGTACCAATTTCACCAACCAAGGACATCTTTATATAGTGTGGAGGATTAGGGTTAAACCCTAATACCCATGACCTTTCATTTCCTAGGATCCATGGGTTAAACACTCCATGGACTATCCATGAAAGCTTAGCCCAACCTAAATGAACTTGGCCCATTCCATATATATAAGAGTCCATATTTAATTAGTTCCTTTTGATCACTTAATTAATTATAAATTAATTCTTGATCAATACTAATTAAATAATATGATTCCATAATAATATATTAGACCTTATAATATATTAATATGTAATCATAAACATACTATTCTCAAAAGATTATCCATATAAATTGTGTCGGTGAAGTGCAACCCAAATGGACCATGCCGGGTCGGGTCAAGTACATACCAAATATAGTTATGGACTTAGACATTAATCCAACATATATATCATATATATTTGTGTTAGATATGAAAGTTTTCATCTTATTCATTACCTTGTTGATCAGAGACAGGAATTCACACACTCTAGTTAACTATAATAGGTATAGTTAAGGCTACTGCTCGTTACCTCTACTACTACTATACTCACTATAACTGTTAATATTACAAGTTGATGCAAGTATAAGAGAACACTCTACCTACTATACTAAAAGTCTACCATACTAAAGCATAAGAGAATACACTAATACAAGTATAACACACTATCCCTCTATAAGGCACTCTGCCGTGCTTACACCATGTGACCAGGGCTTCCCGGAAGGAAAACAACACTACATGTATAGATCTATACGGAACTAACGCTATTACATCCCGGCTGTTAACTACGGTCCGAGCCAAATAGGCCCAGGGGTGGCACTACATCACTTCACTACGCATGACTGGGAAGGTCATCGGGCACTCTACTATCATACAGTTGGTCACATGAAGGGTTACACTTATATCCAAATAAATACACTAAGACTTAAAGTCTAAGCTAATATCCCGAAGTAATTAAATATCTATTACTAACTAAAGTTACACCACTACTACTGTTAGCAGGCATAACATTTCTTCAGCTATGTTACTCACGTGAGATTTAGTACTATACTTTTACAACTGAAAGTTTCAAAGATAATACTTTACACACTCAAAGGATTTGACTTACAAATGTACCTTTCTGGAAAATATAGGATTTCCTAGGGATTTCTACTACTCACAAACCTAAGATTCAAATTTTATATTACATGTTCGTAAAAATCTTTTACACAAACAAACGACACTAAATTCTTATGAAGTCACCAGCTTTATGTTGATACTTGTTTTCAAAATAACTTGTATCCTCAGGTCAAAGATAGACAGGTACTGGTGTAGCTTTTGGAGAAGATGGAGCATATACAAGACTCATCTTTTATTTTTGTTATACTTTTGGTGTCTATTAACTGTGCATAACACATTTGTAAGTATAATCACTATATTAATGAAATGGTTGTTGTTTCTTGTTTTTACTATTATGCAATTGTAATGATAATGTACATGACGTCCTACACCCCAGAACGTATTACGCCGTTCTCGGTTTTGGGGTGTGACAGCAGGAGAGTTCAGAACGTACCAGAGAATGGCAGAGGAATGGTACTGGGTGGGAATGAGAAAAACAATTCAGAAGTATGTAAGGGAATGCGACATGTGCCAACGACATAAGTCACTCACCACTCACGCTGTCGGCCTTTTGCAACCCCTTCCTATTCCAGCCCTAATTTAGGATGACGTGTCAATGGACTTCATTGAAGGACTTCCAAAATCTCAAGGGGCTGATACAATACTGGTAGTGGTGGACTGACTCTTAAAATACACACATTTCATGACACTTAAGCATCCTTTCACCGCTCTAACTGTTTCTGCGGTATTTATCAAGGAAGTAATACGACTCCACGGGTTTCCACTATCGGTGGTCTCCAACAGGGGCAAGGTTTTCATGAGTACATTCTGGAAAGAGTTGTTTCGAGTGTAGGGAACAAACCTACTCTGTAGCACTGCTTACCACCCACAAACGGATGGGCAAACGGAGATTGTTAACAAGTCCCTAGAACTGTTCCTTCGTTGTTTCGTTCAAGGGAAACCTAAAGAGTGGGCCAAATGGTTCGCTTGGGCTGAATTCTGCTACAATACCTCTTACCACACTACCACTCGTGTATCTCCTTTCAAGGCTGCATATTGAAGAGATCCCCCAAAAGTCAACTGCATACCCTGAGGCAGCACAATCGTCTCCACGCTTGAGGAGCAACTAGTGGAAAGGGACAGTGTATTGGATGATCTAAAGGGCCATTTGCTCTATTCGCAACAGAAGATGAAAATCCAAGCGGATCGAAAGTGAAAGGAGCTGAACTTTATGGTGGGGGAAAAGGCTTATCTCAAACTCCAACCATATCGACAAAAATCAATGACAGCAAGGCCTTTTCAAAAGCTAGTTGCCCGCTACTATGGGCCCTTCATGGTATTACAGAAAATTGGTGAGGTCGCCTACAGGCTAGCACTTCCAGGCGAAGCGAAAATCCATCCGGTCTTCCATGTGTCCCAACTAAAGAAGGTGATAGGCAACCAAACAGCACAGCCCAAACTTCCCCCTCAGCTAACTGAGACTATGGAGCTCAAACTCAAGCCAGAAACAGTGCTAGGAGTGCGACAAGATGACAAAGGACAAGGAAAAATATTGGAAGTTCTTATCAAATGGAAGGACAGCCAAGAATTTGAGTCAACATGGGAGGATTGGGAGAACACTCAAGGGTTATTTCCTGACTTTGATCTTGAGGACAAGATCAGTCTTTTGGGGCAGGGTAATGTCATGCACCCACCTATATTGTTCACCTATCACAGGAAAAAAGGGAAAAGGACCACAAGATCACGGAAGGAAGGCCACAGTGGAAATACATCCTCCACTATCTGATGTCAGCCAATAGAACAGTTGAGGGGCATTTTGGGAATTAGTATTTCACGCTTTATGTTAGTATTAATAGTAGAGAGATTGGGAGTGGGGAAGGCAGGCAAAAAGAAGTTAGTCTTTCAGGAGAGGGTAGCATCTCGAATAGCTACAGTTTATCCCTTCTTATCTTGTAATTGCTCTGTTATTTCAATCAATCCATACATCCCACCGCTGAGGCATCTTTTGTATATGTTTTTTGTGTTTTATCCTATCTAGTCCATAACAGTCCAAAGGTACTTATTTTTTCGGATTTGTTTTTTGAAAGGTAGTTGTTTTAGTTAACTTTATATTCAACCAATCTCTCCGACCACAAGACCTAACAAATTGACTCTAATTTTTTTAACATCAATTATGTAACATAAAGTAGGATTATGACATAAATTCTTAACCAAAATCACTTATTTCTCTCCAAACATGATAAATACAGGCAGCAAGACCAAGTCTACATGTAATATTTCCACACTCTTCCCTTTTAAACTGCTTTGTAGATTGTCAATTTGTTGTATGTCATTGTTTGCGCTAATATGGCTTTGATCTTCGATTACACTCTCAAGACCAACACCATCTGTGAATGGAGCTCTTCCAGTTGCATTAAGAGTAGCATTTACCTGTAAGAAATATAAATTCACAAAGGTAAAATATATTAACAAACACATGAGATATAAAAATATAAAATTATAAAGATTAATCTGAAATTTATTTATATAGTTATGGATCATGATAGCCACTTCCGATGTATCTTTTGGGTCTTCTATCTAGGATTTATAAGTGCCCTTTGAGCCAATTTCCGAATTTCATGATCAAATCCAGGCGTAAACTGGTGTAAAGCTTCTACAAATGCCACTTGTGTAAAATTATAAAGTTATTCATAAAGTTGTATTATATTATTGTTATGTAGGCATCACTAGAATTAACTCCAATGTAGCCATTGCCTACAATAATATCCACTCTGAAATTGTCTCTAGTTTCATTGCATGATAACTGATGATTGTAGTCTTACATGCAATTAGGTAATCGATAAATTTACTTCGTTTCACTTCTCGAATTTCCTCATTTACTTGTAAGGAGAAAGATATAACAACTAAAGCAAATTGAAATTGATGTATTGGATCCCTGTTATAAAATATCAGTTAAACTAATATCACCTTGATTGGTTTCATTGAGGCAATCCATCGAACACTTGCTATGCATTTTGAAAATCACCAAGCATGTGAAACCTATTGTTACTTACCTATTTCCATCTTACAAAGCACATAATTTAAGCCAGTTAAGATCAAAATTAAAACAAATATTATGTTATAGAATGTAATGAGATTTAAGAATGCAAGCCTTTTACCTCATGGCAAAAAGAAATTCAAACGAAGTAAAGATGGAAGCGGTCGAGAACCGTTAGGTTTATGGCGTTATCTTTCGGCACAGGTTGATGCCTAAACAAAGGAAAGGGTCGACGCCGTTAGGTCGTCAAAAGACGTAACAGATGATAGATGCTCCATTAAAAGCAGTAACAGACGGCAACTCTGCAGTTAGAGACCTTTTGCGCACTTCGTTGGATTTCAATGGCGGTGACAGGGAGCTTCAGTCCGACTGCAACAAACAAAACAAAATTCATGTACGGAAAACAGACTAAAATCATTGGCGATTAAGGGAAACGCGATCGTTAAATAAGAAATCGGAGAAAAGTCATCTTACTTAAGGTGTAGTACGCAAATGGAGAAATTAGATGCAAGAGGCGGTGGGTAAAAGTTACCTAAGTATTCAGGCGGTGGAGTATTGGTTTAGAAACATATTTGTTTCTAAACCACTGTAGCACCTCCCCCATTCTCTTATTCTTCGATCCATCCCAGTAGCACCTTGGCAAACTACAACTATACTCGGATTTTATTTAGGGATCAGATTGAGAAATTCCTTCGTATTCGTTTGGAAGACACATTCGGCTCCAGCCTAGGTGTTCATGCTGATGCAATCAAACAGATATTGAAAATCAAATAGAAGAAAGAGTCAACGTACCTAAAATCCAAACAACAACAGACAAAAATTGAAAATCAAATAGAAGAAAGAGACAACTTACGCAAAATCCAAACAGCAATAGGTTCATCTTCCTTATTGATGATGTTCCCCTGTAGAACTCGGGATGGTTCCATCGATTGAAATCAGAGAAATCGTTGGAAGATGCATATGATAGAAGACTGAAGATGAAATGTGAAATATAGGAAGGTGCGAGGCGGCGAGAGATTCGAGGCGGTGGATGGTTACGTGGAAGGACCAAACCGAAAGTAGCGGTGGGAACAATATGTGTTCACAATGAACAGTCAGTATCATCGACTGCTTAAAGTAGACCACGTAACCTTCAGAAAAAAAAAATTCAAAACCCAGAAGAAAAAAAAAAATTGGTCCAATCAATAGCAAGAACTGTTCAATTGAGAACCCTCTTTTAATATATATATATATATATATATATATATATATATATATATATATATTATAATAATTTGTGTGTGGTTGTTTAAGCGATTGGCCCTTATATAAGAGGTCAAAGGATCAATTCTCGGCACTTCCATTTTTTAAATTATTTTTTCCAACCCCATATTACATATATCCCACATCGCTGGAGGAATGCAAATAATCTCCCTTGCCATGCCCCGAAAACCGAATCCGGAATCGAGAAACCGAACCCATCGGTTTGGGTTTGGCCCTTGCACACCCCTACGTTCCAGTTTCGAGTTGGGGTTTTTATGAAGAATAGAGTTGCTGCCCCACAATGTGTCGATTTTGAAGATTCGATGCAACATGTTTTGGATTAAAACATACTTAAAGAAACAAGGGCCAATAGGTAATGTTTTTAATAATTTCTTTGTTGGAATTCCCATTAATGTAGCTTTGCACGTCTTTATTTTCACTATTTGTCGAATTTATAACAATTCGTGACAAGAACATTCAAAATGCAATACATTGTCTTATTTATTTTCAATATTTCTAACATGGGGAAGTTAGACCTAGATTTTGGATTGAAAGACATGTTTTTCTGGAATTTGCAATTAAAAATTGTTCGGCTACATGGTAATGAATTTATTTAGTATATTGATTTATATTTTGCTTGATTTTCATTTGTCGCATTACGTTGCATCGAATGTCGAATAATTTGATTTTATGCACAAAATGTCATTTTGGTAGAATTTTATTCTCATATGTAATACTTTTTATATAATTTTCAAGAATCATTCTTAACAGAATGTTATGGTCATTTGTAATACATTTTACATGGTTTGATGGTGGTTCTTGGTGGTAGTTGTAGGATCAAGAAGTGATGCTTGAAGAGTACAGAAATAGACTTTTTGAAACTAGTTCTTGAAGAATGTAACATGGAAAAATGGATTCCTTTAATTTTTATTTTTATGTATTCCTTTACACTCAAAATATAGGTTCGTTTGGTTAATGTGAATATGTTCAATTCTAACGGAATTGTTTTGCTATTCTCACTGTTCTTATTTTTTCTTGTGCATTCTTATTTATTGTAATTTTTAGCCGTTCTACAATAATTAATATACTTTAATATAATAATTGCAATAAATATAGTAATAAATGGATATCAATTTCATTAATGAACTTACCTTTTAATTTTAAAATTTTAAAATTAAAGCTCATTAGTTTCTTTCTTTATTTATTTATCTTATTTGTTTAATTTAAAAGATAAAAACATTTCAATTATAACACTTTATTATTTTTCTTATTTTCTTATAACTTCAATGTTTTTAAATATTTTGACATATATATATATATATATATATATATATATATATATATATATATATATATTTAAATTAACACATGTAATACATGGATCTCACAACTAGTATTAATAATATGCACCCTTAAATCACAAACATTTATTCTCTTAATCCAACGGACAAGAAGTGGTCATACATTCACACAATATTTACAATTTATATTTAATCTTAACCATATATATATATATATATATATATATATATATATATATATATATATGTTAGGTTATTTTGTTTTTACTAACTATTGTGTGCCAGAATGCACAGATCTGGACCATCGGATGGAATATAATCAAAGGTTATGATCTGAGGGTCTATGATAGTAGAATAGGATAACATGTACCATATAATCATACAAATTTCAACATAAGGGCATTTTAATCAATTAACCTATATTAAAAATGGAAATTTTCGGATTTTTAGGGATGATTAATTCCTTTATTTTTTTAAAATCTGAATATTTTAAATTAATTCAAATTTAAAAATCTTATTTTATTCTGTCAGAATGATAGAATGCCAACCATAAACTAGTAAATATATTTTTCGATTTTATTCTGTCAGAATGGCAGAATGTCAACCATAAACTAGTAACACATTCTAAAAGAATACACAAATCAATTCTTGAACTAATAATGCAACAAATAGTTACATTGTATGATTGTGATTCATTGAATAATAACAACATTCTGAAATAAAAAATATATATATCAAAATCTAACAAAAACACTAATCTATTGTGAAAGAATATTATTTTTAAGCAACACTTTATACATTGTAGCATAACACATTTAGGTATAATACACTCTCGTTCTATATGTTTTCTTCCTTTTCCACATCAATGTTAGCCTCTTCAAAACTTAAATCCACAAAGAAAACATAATCAAGTTTCAAAAATTAAACAATTCAATGCATTATAATAAAATACAATAATAAATATTCTTATAGAATAAACTATTCTTGCAGAATGGTTTTGAATATTCTTAAAGAATTTGTAACATATTCTACCGGAAACGATATAATTGAGAATGATAACATATTCTATCGGAATGTTTTTTAATTTTCCTATCTAACAATATTTTTTACTTTCCCTATCTTGACAAATAAGAAGATCGAAATCAAATTGTCACAGAATAATAAGCTTTCTGAGAGTTTTGACAGAATACATACAACATAACCATATTCTCTTTCAGACATTTCCACAAACACCTTTTGTGGACACATATATAAATAATATAGAATCAAAAGCTTAAAGTATAAAAAAAATACAAATATCCTCATTGTTCTTCTGATGCGAATTAAAATAGGTTGCTTCATCAATTAGGGTTTAAGAAAAAAGGGTTAAAGTATAATCGTTGTTACCTGTATTGGTTATCTTTATCTCACTTGTAGGTGAATTAAGTCTGGTAAAATCATTGTCAACTGCCTCAACACCTTGATTTCTATTTCTATCGTTGGGATCCTCTTTTGGAATTTCATGATGTTGCACTTTCATCGGCGAATACTGACTCGTACTCACACCGCCTTCTAACCGAGACAGATGGCCACATAATTCGTCAATAATTGCATTCGCCGCCACGAACTCGCCTTGGAACTAGGAGATCATCATGTCCCTGACGAACGTCTCTGTTTGATGTACCGTCGGGGCTAGATCAGAAGTTGTAGAAACGTCGGTTGTCGGCGCCATCGCCGATGAAAGGGCCAGCTCCACCTGTTCTCTTCTCCAATCCATAAAGTTGGTGGTTCTACGGTGCTGTGGGGTGGTACTACTGCTCTGGTGGTGTCGAAATAAGGATAGGATAAGCGTTTCTGGGTCTATGAAGAGAGAACGATGATTTTTAGACAAGTAAGGGGAATCGGTGGTGATGTTATATGAAACTGATAACCTAAATGAGTGGGATATTGATTGATTTTGTTTTCTTTTACCATAATTAATTATAGTGTAGATTACTCTTATACCTTTTTATTATTTATTAGTGATTTAATTATTTTCTGAATTTTCATTGGTGCATTTAGGCACAGAATACTTGCTAAAAACATTTGAACCTATCTCTCTCTCTTTCTCTCTCTCTCTCTCTATATATATATATATATATATATATATATATATATATATATATATATATATATATATATATAGGAGTAGGATCAAATGAAAACATTAAAAAGGTTGAGAACGCGAGAACAAAGTATATTCATTTGCGATTCCATGTATTCATTTGTGGAGAAATTATATATATATATATATATATATATATATATATATATATATATATATATATATATATATATATATATATATATATATATAGGAGTAGGATTAAATGAAAACATTAAAAAGGTTGAGAACGCGAGAACAAAGTATATTCATTTGCGATTCCATGTATTCATTTGTGGAGAAATGACAAATTTTTATGCATTTAATTTCAATTGAAGAGAAAAAGCATATTCATGTTGTTTGTGCGTAAAAATTATCATTTCTCCACAAATGAATACATGGAATCACGAATGAATATACTTGTTCTCGCGTTTTCAACCTTTTAGGTGTTCTAATTTGATCATTTTCCTATATATATATATATATATATATATATATATATATATATATATATATATATATATATATATATATATATGAGATTAGTTGAAAACTCATAGTTTTTTGAGAACCCGAGAAGTAAATGTGGAACCTTAGATCAAAGTTAACTTATTAAGGGCATTATCTTCATCATATCAATCTCATTTAATGTTTAATTTTATGTGTTATTGGAAATATTAATAAAAATATCTAAAAAAATGGCATAATAAATCAAATTTTCAGATTTTTTTTTATAAAAATAATAATTTTTGTTTTTTTTTTTAAATACAGATTTTTTAATTTTTTTTTTCAGAAAGCATGATTTTTTTTAAAATAACATGAATTTAAAAAAAATGAATTGAAAAAAAAAAATACAATTTTTAAAAATCAGTAAACTTAAAAATAAAAAAATAATAAAAAAAAAAACTGGAATACTTTAAAAAAACTATAATTTTTTTAACCAAAAATATTAACGCTTCATATGTATATATGCATATTTTTTCAAGTGCATATATGCATATTTTTATACCATAATTTTGTAAGTAAATCATTAAAGAAAAAAACTATTTTTATTTATTAATCTACAGTATAAGTATTTTATTCGATAGAAAATAAAATATAAAAAAATTGCTATAAAGATTCAAAGTGTTATCCTTTCTTTTTGTCAAGTTTTCCTTATTTTCTTCACTTTATTATTTTTCACATCTTCAATATTTTCTACAAATTCTTCCAAATTTACAAGGATATTTTTTTTAAATGATTAATGCAATAACACTCACAAAAATACATATGTATATGTTTTGTAAGATTCACATGTGATTATATAATTTGATATTTATATTTTATTGTATCTTTTAAAATTCAAATGTGAAACTCACAAGAAAA